GTCGTCCGTAAAACTTACGAAGGGATGACCCCAACTTCAACACTTGGAACTCTTGGTTTAATAGCTTCCTTGTGAGCAGCAACCCTCTATCAAGGAAATCATGATAGGACATACAAGCCCTGGAATATCATATTAACTGGAAGATATATACTCCGTATGCAGGCGCTGCTGGAATGTTGCTACATAGAAATGGAAAGTTCACAATTGGGAAGTTAAAATCATCTCTTTTGTCGTAAAGTTTGTTTTCAACTAACCCTATTTGTCAATTTCTAGATGTAAGTCAAGATATGAGGCAGACTTAACTGTATCTGTTGTATCCTTTATCTCAAGTTCGATGGGATAGATTCGTTCAACATAGTCACCAAATTTTGAATTATTTATTGAGAGAACATCATCTATATAGCGGAAAGTAAAGTTAAAGGATACTGCTCACTTCTTTTCTTTCTGCCTAAGAAGTTCCTGTATGAAGTCAGCCTCATATGAATAAAGGAACAAGTCGGCAAGAAGAGGAACAGTTTGTTCTCATGGGAATACCGATTGTTTGTTGAAAAACACGTCCTTCAAACTTAACAAATATGTTGTCAATCAAGAAATTAAGCATCTTGATAATGTCAGTTTCAGAAAATTTGTTGTTAGAATCAGAGTGATTTTTTATAAAGTAGGATTTTCCCCTCCCTAAGACAAGATACTTGTATCTACGTTGGCCATTCTTTTTTATGAAACAAAGCAGGACAAACTCTTTCAATTTGTCTTTTAGTTTAGAATGGGGGATACTTGTGTAAAGTGTTGAAAAGTCAAATGTTTTATTACTATTGCAAGATGAAAGAGACTTAGATTGTATGTACTCTTAAAGATCTTTTGATTTTTTTTAGTATCCACATCTGATTCAAGCCACCTCTAGAAAAGGTAGTTTCACAATGACTTTGAAGCCCGGCTTTGATTGTTGATAAAATTGATGTTATTTATATAGAAAGCGGTTTTGTGGAGCACTTGGAAGACCCAACAATATACCGTTGTTTGTAAAGACACTTATGTAGTTTAGGTATCAATTACAGTGATGGAAGATCCAGTTCTTATCGTTGGTCGAAATTCCAAAGGAACATAGAACATACCTATGATTATCCAGGATAATCTCTTTAGAAAGTGCCGTGGGGGTATATGTTTCCAAGTGAATTGTCAATACCTAATTCATTTATCAAGCAGTTTATGTAATGTGATTTACACACAAAAACGATGTTGTTTGGGGCTTTATCTGCGGGGACAACAACATATTTGTCATGGAGGTAGGATAAGTGTTTTGCAACATTTGGGTCTTTAAAGATTGATGTAGCATGGATTTTAATAGAGCCATTCAGTTTCTTAATTCTGATTTGTATTAACGACCTCCATCAGTATTTTGAAGTTGTGTTTCCAATTGATGGATTTAGTCTCACGATATTTCGGGCCTTTGGATAACACATTTCGCAGATAAGTGTTATTGGCAATTTTTAGGTCACCGGTAATTACGTGCCCAGCAGGATTATATATGAAAGGGGAACTAGCACGGGTGCTACCTGCATCATGAATATGTTTTTGTCGCACAGGTCATAGCGACAATTTAACAACATCGATTGTGTTGTAAACAACATAACCAACTTTTCGATGAAGGTATTTGTTTTGCAAATTCACTGTGCAACCTTAAAAAAAATCCAACGACACTTACTGAAGAGCAAATGATGAAAAATAATACAGTGGGAAAACCGATGACGCGAAAACATGAGGAAAATAACTCTTTAAATGAAAAAAATCGACAACATCAATAGTAAAAGAATGCGTGTATCGATAATCAAAATCGTACGTTTTCAAGAATTTTTACATTGTGTTATTAGAAATATACGTGCACAAACATAACGGTTTGGCATATGCTTCCAGTGTAATACCTGAATAATTGTATAAGTTGGACTTGTATCAACACTACATGTTTGTAATTTACCAGGCATATCTGGTATTATTATCTTTGTGTCGTTTAATACAGATGTTATAATATGAATTGACTGTGAAAAGACTATATTTGGGCATAAAAATGGAAAAATGTTACCAAAACGTGCAATCTCTAGAAATTTACTATTTAAAAAATGAAAACAGCAAATATTATTGAAAGTATAAACACGATAATGACAAGCCTCCGTTTTTAAAATCACGACAACAAAAAGAATGGGGATTTTTTTTTTAGTTTGATAATTAAAAGGTTATCTAAAGCATTTGAAGAAATCAATTTATATAATGCGATAGTAACAACATTTTCAAGTTGCTTCGTCCACCATTTTGTACGGTCCTCTATAAAATAAATTCTATGCCTGACATGCACTTTTCATAGTTATTCACTTTGAATTTGATGTTAGATTATATTTCCGACAATATGCTCAAACGAAATTTGTCTAGAGCTCAGATATGTAAGATATGAAGCACATTTAAACCGGCTGTGACGTCATGATTGCCGTGTATAACACACGTGACTAGTTATCAAACACTCTTCATAGGACTTTAGTTTGAAGCTGTCGGTTTGAAAGTTTAAAAATCAAATGACTGGTTGATGGACTTTTGCTTGGTAAACATAAAGTTACAAATATTTCAAACATATTAAGGAGAACACACTATTTGATATGAAGTGTTATGCAAAATAGGTCTACGTGGATGACAATTATTTGGACTTTGAAATGAGGGTATGGTGGACAGAGACAAATATTTAGCCCTGTCACAGGCCACCTACGACCACTCAGAATGTTATAATTGTACGTGCAGAGGCATGACACTCTCCGTACACCAGGCATTGAAGTTTACGTCCTCGTACCGACCGGCGTGGCTGCATATTTATACATCCTAAACACGCAAATGGACGCTCCACTTATGCAGGGGGATTACTGGAGGAAAGGGAAAATCCAGAGATGCCCATATATATATTCCAGAGTCAACTCTTGAGGCCAAGATCGAATGGTAAATATTATGCAAATTTGTTTTCATAAAGAAACCGAATTATAGGATATTAACTGGAGTGAGAACGGCTGTGTCTACTGAAATGACTGCATTAGCCGTCATGCGAATCTGCACTCAAATATCACAATAGAAAATAGGACACAATAGATAAATGATCCGACTACTGTAACACTACAATCTTGTTAAAAAAAAAGAAATTCAAACTGTTATTTCCATAATTGTTTATTGATATGTCATAGGTTACTTATTGTTAGAAAAGTATATATATATATATATATATATATATATATATATATCAGTAACAATCTTGTTTAGGGACAACCCCTGAATAAAATCAAGCATAACCTTCTTACATATATTATGTCATTTTTTAATACAATAAAAAAAAGGTCATCCGAGTTGTTTTTCTCCCTGGTATTTATAATAAATTACACGTCCTTGATCTAAGGTGTTAAGCTGTCTAGTGAAGTAAGCATTTATGATACAGGTAACACTCTGTTCAACTTTCTTCTGGTGCTCCTCCAAACTCGAAAAACCGCTTTTATACAAAACAAAAATACTTACGATAAATAAACTTTACTATTCGTTAGGATAATGATATTGGTTGACAAATTAGGTAAATAAATCGACCAATAGTTTACAGAAAAATAAAGATTGAGCTTTGCAACATATTTTCTTTAATTTCAATCTCACGCTTTTAATTTCAGAATATTTAACATTATTACAAAGCAAGATTCGCTTACACTGCCAGGCTGTCCTGATAAGGATGCATCATACAATTTATCAATATAATTACATGAAGTTTTACAAATCTATTGATATTGGTACCTCATATTTTTTTTTTATTCTTATGTAGGATTGAAAATTAGTTCATGTTAATGCGTGCATGCGTATAAAATCTCATCGTAACAACAAATAGACAATACCATGGCAAAAAATAAAAACGACAAAAGGACACACAGCATTAATATAAAACCAAAGAATGAGCAACACGACAAAAAAAAAAAAAAAAAAAAAAAATACGCTGTTGAGCTCAAGTGGTCTAAATAATAATCAGTTCCTCTTCAACATTTTGTTCCATATAGAAAACACAGCATAATAACAAACTGAAAACAATCAATTTAGAGAAGATGAATAGTCCGAATGAAACAATAGGCCATAAAGATATAACAAAATGACGAATGACACAAAATACCGATTTTTAAGAAAACAGTTACTGAATACTAGTTTAAAGCCATGTATTATTAATAAATAAATCATGTTTTCAATGGCAGTTGTTATCAAATAGACCGTTTCTATGTATGTTGGCGTTTGTTATTGTTGCACTTCAGTGTTTCTGTTGTTCTGTTGTTTTCCTCTTATAGTTGATGTGTTCCCTCGGGTTTAGTTTGTAACCCTGATTTGTTTTCTCTATATCGATTTATGACTTTTGAACAGCGGTATACAACTGTTGCCTTTATTCAAGACTAAAACAGCAATTAGTACACCTCCATCGGACGTTTTAACCGTCTGGGTAAAATATGACCTTGTGCAATCCCCAATATCTAATTACGACAGCACGAAGAACCATAAGCGTTCATAACTAGATATCAATGTTCATGTATATGTTTTAATTTATTATGATGGATGCATGGCTGCTTAACGTCCAGCGGCAAATTAATATGCATATTCAGGTCCAGAACATATTGATGTAATATGAATATATGAATCCTGCTTTTTGCTAGACCAACTCGCTTAGTCGGATTTTTAACATGCTTGTTCACAATGTACATAACCATAGGAAGACATGTCACCTTTCCCGGACACATTGATCTGACTCCGAGCAGACCAGTCTTTGCTCTCACTCCTTTATGCCGTGTGCTTAGCGGAGAAGCAGCAAATACCAATTTTAAATTCTTTTGTTTGACCCGGCCGGGGTTCTAACTCACGACCTATCACACTCGAGGAGAACACGATACCACCCAGGCGGTTTTAATTTATTAAAACAGTTTCCATGTTAGAACCAACATATAAATACAATACCCGAATACTGTACTTCAGTGTTACTTTAATATCTTGATTATTAATACAAAAATACATTTTGTTAATTCAATAGTTTTCCAATTTCTACAGTCAAATCGTTAAGAGGTTTTGAAGTAATATAATCCTATACTATACTTAAGATGTCATTCATTTTTTAAACAATTAAATAATTGCATGCATCCACTTCATTTGAACTTTGGTGGATAATGTCTCATTGGTAATCATACCACATCTCCTTATTTTTATAAAAAAAAAATATCTGCTTTATGTGCAAGAAATTTACTCAAATGTTGCTTATTGTATTGGAATGGTGACCACAGTTCTATACAACTAAATTTCTGGTCGTTTCTTCCTTCCGTTTTGGAGAAATCTTCATCTTGTCATAAAAAATATCCTCCGTATTGTACGGCAGATTATCATCATTTGGCCACTGGATACATATAATTTTAAACCACATTTCTTTCATTACATGTGGAATTTCATTAACTTCAATCTCATCCTTTACCACTATAATCACCATGTCTTTTCTTCCTTTCTGAAAAGCATGCATACGAGTCATTTCTATCTCATACGACCCCCAATTACTCTTCAAGAAATTATGAGTTATAATAAATATAACCTTTCTGCTAGAATCGATTGCATTAATAACATTTTCTGCTATACTATTACCAGCAATAAAATCCTTGGCGTCCAGGCATAATTCGAAGCCCATACTGCTGAGTTTGTCATGGAACCGTTTAACCCATTCCACATCTGCATGGCTATATGATATAAAAGCATCATAAGTGTATTCCTGCCTCAAGTCTTTGTAATTTTTCATGTTCATTTTCAATCTCAATAAAAAGTACTCAAAAGCATATTTATATCGAAAGAATATAACGATTAATATCATAGCAAATATGATCATGGAGGTTAATGACACAGCAAATGGCAACCAGAATTTGGTTCTGCAGGAGATTTCAAATTGTTTTAGATCGGAAATAATTTCAAACATAAAAGTGCGAGATGCCGTATCAGTTACACATTTTACATCTAAAATATCCAATATTCGTTTTGACTTACTCAACCACTTCAAAAACTGTAAAGTTTTACAAGAACATTGAAAGAGATTTCCTTTCAAGAGTAAATCCACTTCGCCAAGCTTTTCAATTTGATCTATGTCAGTGTCTACGAAATGCGTTATACTGTTAAAGGTCAAATCAATGAGATTTAATGTTTTAACAGTGGAATGAAATTTAGGAAATATTGTTAGATTGTTATGCGACATATTAAGTGATGATAACTGCTCAAACTGGTGCATAAAGAATCCTTTTGGTATAGTGGTTATTTTATTAGATGACAAGTTTATATCTCGAATTCTCAGCGTCTCACTTAAAAAAGACCCCGCGTGAGCAGTGTTTATGAATCCTTGTCCTAGATGTGATCCACTTGCTTTCAGTGTCTTTAAATTTGGAAAACCATATAGCAAATTGATTGACAGTTGTATGCATGTCCAACCCGACATATCAAAATACTCCACCCTCAAACCTCCTTTTAAAATTCCTTTACAAGACCATATTTTATTGTCCTTCAAGCTTAGCACTCGCAAATTTAGACTGTTGTTTAATATAATACTGGGCAAATTATCGTTTATGTTGTTTTCTATGTACAACTCTTCTAGAGTTTTTGGTAAAATGATATTGACGTATATTGGTGCCGAGCGTTTACATCTTAGAAAACGCCTATTATCAATAAGTTTAAAAACTTTCAAATTTTCAAAGTTATGGCAAATGAATAAAGGAGAAACTTCCTGGCTGAGAATGATATTTTTTGAAACTTGTAGGAATTCAAGACATTTGCTCTCATAAGAAAATTTCTGTAACGCATAAAGACCTATAGATTTAATGTATAAATTGTGCAATGTCAGTCGTTTCAAACAAATGGTTGATAAATACTTCATTTTGTTGTGATTTAAGGTAAATGCATTACTAAATCTACTATTTTCTATTTTAATATTTGTCATGTTCCTTCTCCTCAAAACCCCAAAAGATCTGAATACTTCATTTATTGGATTTGTTGGTAAACTGCCACCTAAATCTAATGTTATTGAATCCAATTTAGGAAAATGGTAGAAAAAATCTTCCGATATAGAGGGCACAACATCTAAGTACAAAGACATTATAGGTATTATCTTAATATGAGCGAACATTTCCTTGTTGAATTGCACTTTTACCGATTTTGGGAAAATCTCCACGTGAGTCAAATTACTTAATGTGGACCACTTGCTAGGAAACTTGAAATCTTGATGTATGTCAAACGAAAGGGTCCTCAGTGATAGGATCTTTGACGTTTCCTTCATTTGGTCATCCAGTTGATTTTGTAGTTAATTGTGGTAAATCCAAAGATGTTGCAAACAATTCAGGTTGTCGAAAACTCCAATTGGTAACACTTGTAAGAAATTGTGTTCCAGGTGTAGACTTTGTAGACGATGCAATCCATGGAAAGCATTTTTGTCGATTGATTGTATCAAATTATAACCCAAATTTAGCTCGGTAAGATTTTTAAAATACTGAAAGGTAAAACCTATGACTATTTGTATGCTGTTTCTACTTAAATCCATGCTAGTTGCGTGTACTGGTAAGTGACTAGGTATAATGGTCAGGGTCGAATGGCTGCAATCAATGATTTTGTTTTGCACGTTGCATTTCGTCTCGGTACTGTGACCTTGAACTGCAAGAGTGGAAAAACAACTCTTAACTCAAATATTATACAAATGATAGTTATGTGCAGATTATAATTCACACCATAGTTCAACAAAATAATTTACATCAAACAAAATGATACAATAATAAACATCCTCCAAATAAGTCAAGTCCTAAAGGTCGTTGATACAGAAAAACAAAAACATGTCTGTAAGCACTCTTGCACCATCTATCTTCAAACGCTTGTTGCTAAACATTTGTCTTGTTAGCTATTATTTTATCAGTAATAATGTTAAACTACCTACTATAGAAAACGTTTTTTGATACAGCAAAATAGATTTTTTTTTGGTTTCAGGAAATTCTAAATTATAGTTTTTAAAACACTCCGATTGGAACACTAAAATTCTGAAGATTTCTTTATGAACAATATATTGGTAACGTTCGGACGACGAGTTTCTTTAACAAACTTGGAATTGCATACTGCTTTTCTATACTTCCCGACTTGTTTAATTATTCATATGAAACAGACTTACCACAGGAGGTTGCCATCAATAATGAAAAGAAGCTTGCATTATTTACTAGCTTTATGTTCCGCGATAAAGCTAGTGTCCTCTAACCAACTATATAAAGTTTGTTGACTGTATAACATATATTTTTCCAATCGAGATTGAAATTAAGGGAAAACAGTACTGTGGTTGAAGAATTGCCGTCGTCAATTGGCGATCAGATGATCGCAAATGCAGTTTCACTGGCGACGCGTAGCAGAGCCAGTAAACCGGATATTTGCGACTATTAAATTCCAAATGACGACGATAACTGTCCAACAACAGTACTGTTATTCCGATTCTAGTGCATTACAAAAAGAAATGATACGTTAGAACTAGAAGAATATCTATAAATTTAAAATAAAATAAACTTCAGCAAAAATTCATGAATGATTTTCGCACATAAACGTTATGGCTCAATGTGACGTCATACAAATGACAACGTTCAAGCTGACGGTTAATTTGTTACTTCTACGAATCAATTTTGCATAAAATCACATTAAAACGGCGGTTTTGGGGTAGTTGTATTTTTTTTTTCGATTATATTGTAACAGTTGTTGTTATTAAAAAAATTATTAATTACATATGGCGGCTCACTCCTTAGTAACGACATGTCAAACGTGGATTCGGTGGTAAATTTTAGCCAATGAAAAAAAATCTTATATAAGAATTGTATTAGAATTAAATAACTCTAAGTCTGCTACATATCTTGTCTTAAATCTGAAAATTGACAATTTGAGTTGGTTATTGACCAAAGTTATCAATAAAAAGATGATTACAACTTTTTAATTGTGAATCTTCTATTTTCATGCAACAATATTCCAGCATAGGTATTATATATTTCCCAGTTGATACTATATGCTTGAGTTCCCTATCATACATTCCTTCATACATGGTTGCTGTTTACAAGGAAGCTGTTGTAAAACGGTAAAGTAATAGTAAAATTGAAGTCATTACTTTTAAACGTGTGACGGGCGATAACATAATCTGTTAAACGGTTAGAATATGTATGTAAAAATGCACATGTACACAATACAAAACATATCAGTATATTTATGGACGTTATGTGTGCAGCATACTTGGTAGAAGTTTCATTTAACAATGAAGGCTAACACTTCATTATGTGATAACATGTACATGTACATTTAATTTTGGATAGAAGCTGCATGAGCGAGAGTGACGGAAAGAGAGAGTATGTCACAAGTTAAAAAAAAGTTCATGCAATATCAAAATAAAAAAGGCAAGATACATGTACACTCATCAGAAATCGTACTGCCATGGAAATCATTTATTTTCGTTTTATATTCAGTACAATATTTGTGCATAGGGTTACTGAATTTCTGTAAATTGTTATCAGTCACGTGTAGTGTTTTGAACAAAAACAATTTATTGAATTGATCTAAAAAAAAATCGTCCTCTTGTATATCAGCTAGAATGCAAAGGTTTCTGAACTATCACATTTAACGGTATTCTGTGAACAAGGTATGTCCAACGTTTAAATTAGATATTAAGTTTTAATTAAAATAATGAAATAACTTACCTTCTTGTAAGGCTGCTGAGATCCAAAGGAGTATAATTTTTATAATGTTCATGATTCTTCTTTCTAAATGTTTTAGAGAAGATTTCAGTGAACAGATACTAATGTTACTGTTTTGTATGCAGACAGATGTATGTTACATACCAACCAGCTTCTCTGTGTGTATTTCGACTCTGAGTTTTATAGGTAGACAGTGTTTACCTTGAAGCTTTTTAATGCAAAAGGACACAATGCATGCATTGTTCACCGTTTATGATTGTATTACGTACAATACTGTTTTTTTTTATTTCATTGTACATGTTAAATTAAAAAAATTATAGCATAGTAATTTGATCTACATTCAACACCCCTTAAAAGAATTATAACAAATCAAACGAATTGTGATAGAAGTGGTGTACAGTTTAACATTCTTGTTACAGTTTATTAAAATTCTACTGCGTGCGCTGTAAAGTGGCATAACCAACACTAATGCTTTTTATAAACCGATAACTATGTTCGTTTTCTCATAACAAACTCTTTCTTTTTAACAGCTCTTTATCATTTCTTTGTACAAAACCTTTCCAAAAACTTTTTTTTTCTCTCTGTCTTTTTGTAATGTTGGAGTTTGTTTTATTTGTTTTTTCATTGCTTATTTGTTTTCATGCTTATAAAACCTAAGATGGTGAGACACTATGACGAAGTCAGAAACTCTAACACTGAATGTATTTGACTTGGAAAATACTAGAACTGTCGGAAAATATCAATCGGACAAATAATCGAGTAGAAAGTAAAATTATATATTTTGTTCGTAGTAAAAAGAATTATTAAACTCCAAAAAGAAGAAAAACTGTTACACAAATGATATATGTAAAACAAAAAGGAGATGAAGTATGATTGCCAATGACACAACTATCAACCAAAGTTTAAATGAAGTGGATGTTTCAGCAATTTTCAGCAACCGTACGATTCAACAATGAGAAAAAAAACCCATACAAAATGGTCAGCTTTAAAAGGCCCTGACATGAAAAATATGATTCAATTCAATTGTGAAAATTAACGGCCTAATTTATAACAAAGCAAATATAACAGACATGAACCAACGACAACCACTAAATTATAGGCTCCTGACTTGGGACAGGTTCATGGGTTAAACATGTTTGAAGGAGCCAACCCTCCCCTAACTTGGGACAATGGTGTAACGGTACAATATAAGAACAAATTATAAAATTCAGTTGATTGGGGCCTAACTCACCAGATCGATACAAAGCAGAAACACATCTAACAAAAACACAGACCGGAATTGGCAGGGTATCTATTCATCACTCACAACAAAAAAGACACAAAGCACAGATCTGCGAGTACTCGCAGACTGGCTGCTAGTCCAAAGCATATAACAACTAATAAAAAGATCATGTATTTAAGAAAAATTCAATCAGTTCACATCAATAATCCAATGAATTAAGAACTCATTAACAGTCAGGAGAAAACATGACCTTGCGAAATGCTAGAATATTGGTATCGACAGATTTGTAGTATCGTGAATGTGCATATGTGTATACCAATAATATCTAGTTTAATTTTAATTTACTGATAACAACATGAATATTTTAACAAAACAAAACAATATTCACAGATATGGTTACAGTGTTGAATTTGTAACTTTTTAAAATAAGTTTAATCGGATCGTATCTCAATTTCTGGGCTCGGTAAACAACATCACTTAAAAATTAGGATTTGCTATTCCGTTTGAAATAATTTTTCTACAGGTACAACCAAACTTCCAAACCAAACTTTGTATCTATGGCAGAATTTAGTAAAGGTGTTAAGAATTTGTGGTCATAATATCCCTGACTTAATAATATACCAGTAATACATAGATTACGCTCATTAAAATCTAAAATGTCACTACAGGCACAGGCATTACGATTTAGGTTATGTTGACAGCGTAAGACGGTTTGAAAGGAACATCACCGTTCCAAAAAGGAAAATTAACAATAGGGAAAGAAAATTCGTTCCCTTTGTCGTACTTTTTTATGTAGAGTTTCTCGTGTAAAACTAAAATATCTTTACCTAGCAAAGGACAGTTACTGTTGTTAATACTTGCAATATTAGAGAATTCTTGATTATTAAACAAAAATATCATCAAGATAACAGTAAGTGATGTTGAATTTATCTATTAAATTGAATTTAGACGATTATTACTGATTTGGCCATAAACTGTGATTCAGAACAGTACAGTAAAAATTAAGATTTTTAAGGGGTACAATTGGTGCAAAAAGGAATACCTACAACCTGTCGATAAACGTTATTGCTTAGTCGTACATACATTTTGTCAAGGAGCAAAGATTTAATTTACAGCTTTAATCATCTCATCACACATCTAGTAAGCATATCTAACATAATCAACTTTCTCATTAGAGAACAAAGGCTTTATATTTGAATTGTAGCAAATTAATTTGCAATCAGATTTTATAAACAACTATTTAATTAAAGTGCTTTATAAAATTGTGCGGAAGTGTAGTATAAATAGTGGCAAACTCAAAAAATTAGGTAACTAATACTGAGGAGCGCACGTTCTTAAATGGAGTTGAATGTATAATTTCATTCCTTTTTTTTAAGTAAATATTTTATTTCATACCTGCTGTTTTAACAATTTACTCAAATTACATCGTTAGTCCGAGCATCCCTATAATAGATTTATCTTTTCCATTTCATTCCTAATGACTTCCGTGTAGTATTTAGGTCATACCACCACAACATTATTGGCTGCTTTGTCAGCCGGTTCGAACACCAAACATTTTGCGACTACTTGCTTTTTGGATTTTAATCCTAGAAATGGGAATACTACTTTTTTTTATTTAGTTCTAAATTATTTAGAATTTATTTATTTCCAAAATGTGATATGCGAATATCAACAAATTTAAGTACTTCTTGAGCTTTTTGTATGCATTTGTATGGCATTCAATTATGAACTGTTTAATGACTGAAACATATTTACAAATAACTGATCTTTTAATCCGTACCATTTTCGAATTCTTTAATTAATGACGGATGAAATGCAGAGACAACAACACCCTAGAGTGAGTCATTACTGGTTTCACTGAGGTATTATCAATAGACAAAGATAATGAAATATCAGTTGGTACTTATATGTTGAACAAAAAATTGATTTTAGAAATATAGAAAAACTCAAAAGATCTTAGAATTTGTGAATTTTTAAGAATAAAAACTATTAAAAATTAACTTTTTCGGTGGAAACTGCATTATTTTTTCCCTCCAAACAAAAATAATTATTTATTTTCTGTATCTTATTCCGTGTCTAAAAATAGGTTAATTTTCCACAAAAAAATCAGATAACACCGAAAAAGAGACATTGGTAACGTATGTAGTTGTATTTGACAGATATTTGAGACGGTGCATCATTTGATTTATAGATTTGTGTATTCAATTGACCTTCCTGCACACGTGGTAAATAGCAATGTTTAAATAAGCGGGGAAGTAGAAGTTACAAAGGCAAAACAAATATCTTTTAAGCATGATGTATGACTGCCGATTTTCTGTAAATTGAAATTTTCTCACCTGAATACTGACTTAGAATAATGAGGATAATATTATACAATCTAATTCAAAATAAAATATATAAAAAAAACAGATAAAAGTTTGGTTACCAGAATTTTCATTCTCTGACCTCAATAATATTGTCTTCGTATGTAAAAACCATTATTTGCTATGTCTCACAAAAGAGATTGGAATAAACAGCACAACTGGTAATCCTACATATTCTTTAACATCGTTTACAAAGGATGAAATTTTACAAAATCACAAATCTGTCCTTCTTTCATTTAGTATTAACATCAAAGAAAACAAAGTAATTCTACCGTCGTTATACTGGATACCAAAACTTCACAAAACTCCGTGTAAAGAACGATACATAGCTGGATCATCAAGATGTTCGACTAAACATCTTTCTAAAGTGTTGACTACTATTCTTTCTACAGTAAAAGATGGCCTTAAAAAATATTGTGATGAGATATATTCAACCAGTGGTGACAACCAGATGTGGATTCTCAAAAATTCTAAAGATCTACTGCTAAATCTTAGATCACAATCTCTGCAATTTTGCAGCAATTGAAACCTTTGATTTTTCTACGCTTTAAACTACTATTCCCCATGCTCAATTGAAAGATCGACTTCACCATCTCGCTAAACAGAGCCTTTTCTATAAAAATGGGAATCGTAGATATAAATTTCTTGTTTTGGGTTATAATAATTCTTATTTTGTGAAAAACCACACTTTTTTTTCGTAAATTGTTTTGTCAAAAATCAGGCCGTTGGTTAAATTGTTTCATATAAGACATGTCTTGGCCTTTTATAGCTGACTATACGGTATGCAATTTCTCATTTTCGAAGGCCACACAGTGGCCTATTGTTGCCTAAATCCGCTTCATTTGAACTATGTAGGATAGATGTCTCAAACTTAACATATCAAATCTTCTTATTTTATATCATTCCTCATCCTGGATACATATGACATACATTTATCAACGAAAGAACAGTTATATAGAAGTTGCTGATTGGGTTTTACAAAATATATAACGCTAGATTTAAACATTTTGTCTTTGGGTAGCTGTCTCATTGTCGTATACAAATCATTTTCTTTTTGCAAATTGTTATTCAATATCTATGCAGTCTGTAAGTTATCATTTATCAAGTAAGATTCAGAGGGCTTTTAGCATATCAAAGTACAATTTACATACATGCAAAAATCATATACAAACTAAAAGTGCCGATCTTTGAGTACTCGAAGTTACTAGTTTAAAGCCAACAACATCAGATAAGGTTGATGCATCCAGGACATAAATATCAATCAGTACACATCCAATGGATTTAGTATAAGACGTCATAAACATGATCTTGTGCAATTCCAAACCATAAGTATCGATAGAAAGTAGGACCTTTAATGGTCATAGCTGTATGGCAATACTGTTTAATGATGTAAACAGACAGCAACCTTCAAGTACTGAATTACAAGCTCTTGACTTGGGAAAATCGGAATTTAACATATTTATCAACACAGTAAGATAAACAAAATAAATAAATAAAATAAATAATCTTTATTTCAAGAGGATAAGACAAACCAAACGACAAAAATTTAACAGATTTCAGAGGTCAATATTAAGGCTTCAAAAAGGGTCAACTGTATATACAATACGTC